GGTGAGTTGTTCTCACCCATTTCTAACTCTCAGCTCAGGCCTAGCTCTACCCAAACATGGCGCGGAGAATCTTAGCCAGTGTCTCAGAAGACAAAGTGTTCAGTTCGGGCCTGTGCTAACTGCAGCAAAGGTGTGTCTTTTGCTCTGGAAGTGACCACCATTATTTTCCCCTTCCTTCTGGCTCCCCCAGGACTGGTGGGGGAAATCTCACCACCTTGGGGCCTGATCTTCAATCCATGTGGGCTCTAAGCTCACTCAGCAAAGGACACTCCTTCCATCACCATTCTCTCTCCTCAATCAGTTCCTGGCCCATTTAGCAGATTTCCATTATCTTCTTTCCCTTTTAATACCTTGAACTGCAAAGGCGTTTTTTATTTTCCTTAAGGGTTCCCAGTTACAGGTGCATTCAGAATGAAAATCTGGAAAGAGTTCAGTTATAAACATCTATATGTAAGTGACCCTTCGTATCATTTTGACTTCTCTCATTTATACTCACTGAATACTTATATTAAATGTTGGGGGTGCCTCCAGCTCTGAGTCCTCATCTTCAGGACTTCGGAGCCCAGAGATTCTTAGGAGAAAAAAACCCAAGGGGAAGCAGGGGAAGTGTAGACTCATCTCCATACCTCTTCTCTAAACTGCTTGCCTCCAAATAGGTAAACAAGACATGCCTATCTGAGAACAATTAAGCAGGAGACCTTTACTCTGTGCCCCTCCCCATCAATCTTTCCTGCTCCCTGCTCTGTGCATTTGCTCCCAGACATGGTTCTAAAGATTCTTCCCTTTCTCTCCTCTGAATTTTATTAACATGCTAAGTCTGATCCACCTTTAAATAAAACACAGCCTTCTTTCACTCTATCTCCTCCAATCAGCACGGGTCTCCCTTCCATTCAGAAGAGCCTCTTATAACACAAGGTCAGCATTCGCTGTCCCCACTGCTTGCCCTCCCATCTGCTCCAAACCTATTTGGCCTCTTATGTCACTTGTGTCACGAACAGCTTCACTGTCTACCCCGAAATCCACACTAGAAACTTGCGGGTCATCCTAGTTTCTGCTTTCTCCCTCAGAAGACAAGATCCCAGTGGCTCCTGAGCCTCTGCCCTGAGCTCCAACTCCGTTACTGTTCTCCCCAGTTCTCTGGCTGGCTGGGATAAGCCTGGCTGCTCTCCTTGCCTCCAGTCTCAAACCTTCTGCTATGTCTAAATCACAAATATGACCATGTTATTTCCTGCTTAAATCCCTTCAGTAGCTCCCCACACTTCCAGGGTCCTATGTGACCCAGTTCCTGCTCATCGCTCTCCAAAGACCGCCCAGACTTGACTCTGGCCACCCCAAGACACTGCATTCTACTAGATGTGCCCACCTCCCACTGGCAGGGCACAGGGAGGCAGCATGGTTTCAATGGAAGGAGCAAACCCCTCCCCACCTTTAAGACACAGTCCAAGCATCCCCTTCTTCACAGAGACCTTCCTCCTGAGTCCCCGGTAGGAATGACTCCTTTTGTGTCCTATTCCCTGAACAGGCCTCTGGCTCAGCACTCCTAACCTCTACTGGCCTTCTTGATGTCCATGTCCAAGTTCTGCACAGAAACAGACAGGCCCTGAAGAGAGCTGGCCCTGTCAGCCTTGGGATGCCGAAGGCTGAGGAGGAAATTTCTGGCCCCAGAGGAGAGTCCATCCCAAGGAAATAATAAAGGGACTTATATCAAGATGCTCATTGGATGGACCATAACAAAGCATAACAAATCAAGGAAAACATTTTTTTTTTTTTTAAGCTGAGCCATCCTGCTACCTGTTGGCAGCTCAGCAGCTGCTCAGCTCGGGCTGGACTTGAACTGCTGTTGCTCAGAGCTCAAACTCTTGAGCGAGCTCTTAACCAACTGAGCCACTCGGCCGGCCCCAAGGAAAACATTTTAAATTAAGTTTCTTTGAAGGAGAGTCACACATATGGAAAAGGGAGGAAACTAGAATAAACCCTATGGGACTAGACTGGAAGTATCAGTGCGAATTCATGATTTTAATAATCTAATTCTTTCTTTCTTTCTTTCTTTCTTTATTTATTTTAGCTGAGCCATCCTGC